AGCGCGGTTTGTTACTGCGTTTTATATAAAACGCCTTAATGAACCGCGCTTTACCTGGAAGCTGATAGACGATATATAAGCTACGGTTCAATTACTGACGTTTTATATAAAACGCAGTAATAAACCGCGCTTTACATGTTTTGTGGGCCCACCAATAACTCTTATGCGCTTAACTGACATAACAATAATTCAAATATGTAAAACGCCCTTTTAAACTGCGTTTTACTTCCAAAAATTTGACCTCCCCCCCCCCCCCCCCAGATTGGGCATTGCCTTATTTAAAGGCGTTAAGGGTTTTGAGAAAAATCATTCAGAAATACTCCAACTTCGTGATAAATTTTTCTTGTTGTTAAATTCTCAAGCTTTTTTCATAATGTTTAAAGAGCGAAAAGTAAGGGTTTCATTATATTGGGGGGTGAGGTTGTGGTGGCGAATAACTCAGTGAGCTATAGTTTATCTCCACAGAGTCATGTTAAGTTGCCACTTACAATGAAGTACGATAGACAGGTATCGTTGTTATGCAATTAAATGAGGTTGAGCAAACGTTCGGTGAATCTTAAAATAACCGAAAGATATCCGTATTCTGTGACTCCGCAAGGGGTTGCTTGTTATGCTGAGTTTAACATCGAGGATGATGAAACTCTGAGAGATTTTCTGGGGACTCCGGATGAATACCGGGAACTTATTTTGATAAAAATGTTGGAAATGTACGTGAAGGTTGAAGACGTTCGCAATAATGATGTTTTGCAAAGCAGGGACAACCCTCAATCATTGGGTGGTTATTTTGGAGCAGTTTTAGCCCAACAGGTTCCGGCAGAAAGAGTTTGGACGGATCTAAACTTATCTCCACGGGCGAACGAGGAGCGAGGAAATAATTTATCTCCTACTTTACATAATCCACAAGACGACTGCTAAACTTCAAATTTTCTTTGTGTTACGATGTTTATTTTTTGTTGTATTGAATCTGTATTAACACTCATATATTCCACAGGGGGTAACGTCTACATACGAATTTTACAAGTTATGACCCCACGCCCAGTTGGAATATGCGTAGTGTGTTGGATCACGGTGGTCCATCCGGAAGTCATCACCAACAGGATAATGTCTATCATGGAATGTCAACACATTATGACTTGTAAGTGAAGTGATATAGCTATATGTAAAGTATTTATCCATTTGAGTAGCTTATCATTTTGTTGTTTGTGTAGTGAAAACGAGCAACTTGATGGTCCTGAGCTCACTCAGTTGCCCGTAGACGACGTATTTACTCGGGATTCGGCAGATGCGCAGAGTCAGAAAGATAATAGTGATTATGACAACAATGTCGATGAGTCTGGAGATGACACACTCTTCCCTGGCGAGGGTGATGATGAGGAGGAAGTGAATGTCGAACCTGAGCTGACGAGGGAGCATGCTCCACCTCCCGTTAGACCAAGAGTGTATGAATCCCACGTGTTGTTTCATTCAAGGCATATTCCCTACCTTGATAATTTGCCAAGTATGCCGGATGTGGATTCCCTCACAAAGGATCTTGACGAAATTCGGTCAGCAATGTGGGATGAGTCTAGACCAACGGTGCTGGCAAAGGGCATGTTTTTTCCCGATAAAGCTCGCCTATCCAGGACTTGTAAAATGTACAGCGTAAGAGAGTGTCATGAGATGATAGTATGGGAGTCAAGTCCGGAGGTATACAAGGTTGTTTGCCGTAGATGGTTTACGGGTTGTCACTGGATGTTGCGTGCGACCAAGAAGGAAATAGGGTTTTGGAAAGTGGGTAAATATATTGGCACCCATGTTTGTGAAATGGACACATTCAATGGGATTCACTTCAACTTGGATGTTGACTTGATTTCTCTTCAACTCATTCCACACATTGAAGTGTCCATTAGGTACAAGATCAAGAGTGTATTACATCCATCCACCAGGAATATGGGTGTATTATTACCAAAAGAAAGGAATATCACGGGGTGCAAACATGCATTTGAAATTATTTATGGTGACTGTGATAAGTCATTTGCATCTCTACCCAGGTACATAGCCGCACTGAAACACTTTAACCCGGGGACTGTTGTTGAATAGAAGCTTGAGCAGGGTGCAGGAATACCGGAATATATATTCAGATACGTGTTCTGGGCATTTAAACCATCAATTGATGGTTTTGTGCATTGTCGTCCGGTAATTTCCATAGACGGTACTCATGTGTATGGAAAGTATGATATTAAGCTGTTGATCGTCGTTGCAGTAGATGCCAATGGACAAATATTTCCACTAGCTTTTTCCATATGTGCCAATGAAAGCCAAGAGGTGTGGACGATATTTTTGAACCACTTGAAGCAGCACGTTGTCAAACAACGTTCAGGTATTTGTCTAATATCTTATCGGCATGGTGGTATATTAAGTTCTATAGAGCATTTGCCTGAATGGCAGGAACCCTATGCATACCACTGTTACTGTGTGAGGCACCTGAAGGCCAATTTCCAGAAGAAATATCCCAACAAGGACTTGCATGATTTAATGTGGATGGCTGCAACTGATCACCAGCAGTGCAAATTCAGGAGGCGCATGGAATCGATCCGGCAGTTAGACGAAAGTGCCTATAATTGGTTGATGCGACATGAGCTTCATAAGTGGACATTTCATGCTGATGGTGGCAGACGACGGGGAACCCTGACTACAAATGTATCGGAGTCTTTCAACGGGTTATTGAAGTCTGCACGTGGATTGCCTGTCACTGCAATGGTCCGGATGACATTCAAACAGATGGCGGAGAGGTTTGTTGAAAGGAATAGAGGTGCATCGGAATTGATGGAGAGGGGTGTTGAATTTATGCCAATATCGATGAAAAGATTTGAGAAATACAGGAGGCGAGCACATTGGCATTTATTTTTACACTATGATCACGACCGGGGTGTTTTTGAAGTTTGCACCGCTATCCATCAACACCGGGGGAATAATGTACATACCATAAATGAAGCCAGCAGGTTGTATTCTTGTGGGAAACGGTCCATCTACCACAGGCCGTGCTCACATGCCATGAAGTGCTTTCAACATACAGGTTTAGGGCCAACCAACTATGTTGATAGGCAATACGGTGTTGCTGCATACTTAAACACATATAGTGGGCAGTTGCAGCCAGTGGGAGCTGAGCATTATTGGCCGCCGGAACCATTTAAAATGTTGTGTAACAAGAACTATTTGCGCAAGCTACAAGTGCAAAAGAGAACGCGTATACGGAACCAAATGGATGTTGGTGATACCATTTATGCGCGTAAATGTGGCATATGCTCGCAAACAGGACATGACCGTCGTAAATGTCCTTCAGCTGGTTTGGGTGGCGGTGGTAATCCAGCTCGTGGTGCAAGTTCATCTAATGTGCCCAACTATCAAGGATACACGTAGTGTTTTATTTTCGTAAAGTTTTTTGTAATAAGTGTATGTACTTGTTTATGTTGCAAGATGTATCAAATAAAATTATGTTTCCACAACCTTGTTACATCTTATTGATATTTAACATTTTTCAGTTGAGTAAATTAATGAATTTCCCCCTCCCGTTCATGTAATCAAAAATAGTATTGGATTAAAAAATGGAAAATTTTTACGTTCACTTTCGAGTTTCACTCTAAAATTATTAGAAAAGTACACTGTCAGAGGTGGAAGATGTTTGATAAATAAGTGAATATATATATAGCGCGATTAAATACTATATTTTGTGTGTTGTCTTGTCGATCTAAAAAGCTGCTCGACTGCGAAAAAGCTGTTTTGTAACAGGAAAAATCTTTAACACGCCAAGCATAGCGCGGTTAAATTCTACGTTTTGCGTGAATATATATAGCGCTGTTAAATACTACTTTTTGTGTGTTGTCTTGTCGATTTGAAAAGGTGCTCGATTGTGAAAAAGCTATTTTGTATCAGAAAGAATCTTTAACATGCCAAGCATAGCGCGGTTTAATACTATATTTTGCGTGAATATATATAGCGCGGTTAAATACTACTTTTGTGTGTTGTCTTGTCGATCTGAAAAGCTGCCCGACTGTGAAAAAGCTATTTTGTATTAGAAAGAATCTTTAGCACGCCAAGCATAGCGCAGTTAAATACTACGTTTTGTGTGAATATATATAGCACGATTAGATACTACATTTTGTGGTTGTCTTGTCGATCTGAAAAGCTGCCCGACTGCGAAAAATTTATTTTGTATCAGAAAGAATCTTTAACACGCCAAGCATAGCGCGGTTAAATACTACGTTTTGTGTGAATATATATAGCGCAGTTAAATACTACGTTTTGTGTGTTGTTTTGTCGATCTGAAAAGCTGCCGACTGCAAAAAAGCTGTTTTGTAACAGTAAGAATCTTTAACACGCCAAGCATAACGCGGTTAAATACTGCGTTTTGTGTGAATATATATAGCGCGGTTAAATACTACGTTATGTGTGTTGCCTTGCCTATAAATAACGGGCGCTAACTAGTTATTTTCTGCGCTTAACCACAACAAATAGCAAAACTTTCCATAAAAGCAGAGTTTTTTTTTCGCTTTAACAAATGTCTGACCTCATGTATGTACCAATGTGCCAATGTGGCAAACGTTGTATGATGGCGGACTGTTGGGATGACGGTCAAGTTGTGCACAGATACTGGATATGTGTGAACAGGTTTGGAGGCAACAATGGAAATTTTTGCAATTTTGAGGTATGGCTTGATGACCACTGTCAGCAGGAATGCTACTAACGATCTTTGCAGTATCTTCATGATTTGACCAAAAAATAATGGGAATATGAACGAGAATATAAACAAGA